GGCGTGAGCTCCTTCTTGTCAATAGTTCCTTGGAACCGTTTGCATACTTGAGCATATAACAAAATCCAAATAATTTATTTTTCTTCACAATATAATTAATTACCAGAATGCGCTTTTAAATCAAGCGCTGAAGTTGACTGGATGCCTTAACTGTAATGTGGGGATTTGGGCTAAGCGATTTCAGGTCAGTTATACTGTTTTTTGTACTGAATTACCACTTTGTCTTTGAAAATAAAAACTGACAAATTAATCTTATAAGACAAAATTGTTAAGGAAAAGAAGCAGCCCTTGATTTGTCTCATAGATAGCTTGAATGTATAGTTTTTAATATGGCTCTAAATTGGGGTTATAAAGGTGCTGCTTCATGGTGGGGTGAATTTTCGTGTTTTTTTAATGTGGCTCTAAATTTGAGTTATAAAAGCGCTGCTTCATGGTGGGTGAATATTGCTTTTTACTGATACTGTCTTTTCCTAAAGAAATGTGAATGTGCACCTGCTGTTACTTAGCTATAAAATGACCTGTTGTTGGGCGAGTTGGTGAACGTTAGAAATCATGTTTTTTTGTGCGAAAGGACAAACACAAGGGAGGACAACAAGCACAAGCGCGCTTGTGCTTGTTGTACTCCCTTGTGTTCGTCCTCTCGCGCAAAAACCATGATTTCTTCGTTGAGCTACTTTTGCACTAGTCTGGAGCAGGAACCCAAACTTGTCTGTGTGCATTGAGACATCCAAAGCAAACCTGCCAATAAAAATATGTCCCCATCGCTTGCAAGCGGAGCTAAAATGTCGAAGAGAGGGTTGCAGATTGGCATCTGGCATTTTGTTCCAAAGTGTACATTTAACACATTAAAAAACAATATATATTCCAGGTCAAAAGCTTGGCTCGACTATGCCAAGAGGTACGATCTTCTTGGAAAGTCTGCTTCGCAACTCTATGGCACCTATCGCCGTCTGCGGTGATCACTTCACTGCAAAAGATTTTATGGACCCAGGGCAAACAACCCTAGTGCGATCAGCTGTGCCTACTGTTCGTCCTCCCATAAACTGGGCACCTGCAATAGGTGATCGTAATAATGTGTTTCTCTCATATACACAAAGGTATAAGTATCTTCTCTATGTAGGCTAATAAGCCCATTCTTCCAGGTTCCACTCAGGCAACCAGCTCGTCTGGCCCTTCACTCCAGTGCAGCTCCGTCGCAGCGAGCCGTGCTGTGCTTGGTAAGAGGTAATCTCGTCATGGTGCACTTCTGTGTCAAATAATGAAACCTTTACAGACCAGGCAGAGCCCGACAGACTGCAGAATTCACCGCTCCCATGCAGCTCCGCAGTAATGCACTCTGCAGCACTCCGTAATATAGAGTTATTTTAAAGCACCAGCCTGTGCCTAATATGCGCACTCTTCCAGGTCTCACTCAGGCAACCAGCTCGCCTGGCCCTTCACTCCAGTGCAGCTCCGTCGCAGCGAGCCGTGCTGTGCTCGGTAAGAGGTAATCTCGTCATGGTGCACTTCTGTGTCTAATAATGAAACATTTCCAGACCAGGCAGAGCCCGACAGACTGCAGAATTCACCGCTCCCATGCAGCTCCGCAGTAATGCACTCTGCAGCACTCGGTAATAGAGTTATTTTAAACCACCAGCCTGTGCCTAATATGCGCACTCTTCCAGGTCCCACTCAGGCAACCAGCTCGTCTTGCCCTTCACTCCAGTGCAGCTCCTTCGCAGCGAGTCGTGCTGTGCCTGGTAAGGGGTTATCTTGTCATGGTGCACTTCTGTGTCTAATAATGAAACCTTCCCAGACCAGGCAGAGCCCGACAGACTGCAGAATTCACCGCTCCCATGCAGCTCCGCAGAAATGCACTCTGCAGCACTCAGTAATATAGAGTTATTTTAAAGCATCAGCCTGTGCCTATTATGCGCACTCTTCCAGGTGCCACTCAGGCAACCAGCTCGTCTGGCCCTTCACTCCAGTGCAGCTCCGTCTTCGCGAGCCGTGCTGTGCTTGGTAAGAGGTTATCTCGTCATCGTGCACTTCTGTATCTAATAATGAAACCTTTCCAGACCAGGCAGAGCCCGACAGACTGCAGAATTCGCCACTCCCATGCAGCTCCGCAGTAATGCACTCTGCAGCACTCGGTAATATAAAGTTATTTTAAAGCATCAGGCTGTGCCTAATTTCGCACTCTTCCAGGTGCCACTCAGGCAACCAGCTCGTCTGGCCCTTCACTCCAGTGCAGCTCCGTCCTAGCGAGCCGTGCTGTGCTAGGTAAGAGGTAATCTCGTCATCGTGCACTTTTGTATCTAATAATGAAACCTTACCACACCAGACAGAGCCCGACAGACTGCAGAATTCATCACTCCCATGCAGCTCCGCAGTAATGCACTCTGCAGCACTCGGTAATATAGAGTTATTTTAAAGCATCAGCTTGTGCCTAATATGCGCACTCTTCCAGGTGCCACTCAGGCAACCAGCTCGTCTGGCGCTTCACTCCAGCGCAGCTCCGTCTTAGCAAGCCGTGCTGTGCTTGGTAAGAGGTAATCTCGTCATGGTGCACTTCTGTGTCAAATAATGAAACCTTTACAGACCAGGCAGAGCCCGACAGACTGCAGAATTCACCGCTCCCATGCAGCTCCGCAGTAATGCACTCTGCAGCACTCCGTAATATAGAGTTATTTTAAAGCACCAGCCTGTGCCTAATATGCGCACTCTTCCAGGTCTCACTCAGGCAACCAGCTCGCCTGGCCCTTCACTCCAGTGCAGCTCCATCGCAGCGAGCCGTGCTGTGCTCGGTAAGAGGTAATCTCGTCATGGTGCACTTCTGTGTCTAATAATGAAACATTTCCAGACCAGGCAGAGCCCGACAGACTGCAGAATTCACCGCTCCCATGCAGCTCCGCAGTAATGCACTCTGCAGCACTCGGTAATAGAGTTATTTTAAACCACCAGCCTGTGCCTAATATGCGCACTCTTCCAGGTCCCACTCAGGCAACCAGCTCGTCTTGCCCTTCACTCCAGTGCAGCTCCTTCGCAGCGAGTCGTGCTGTGCCTGGTAAGGGGTTATCTTGTCATGGTGCACTTCTGTGTCTAATAATGAAACCTTCCCAGACCAGGCAGAGCCCGACAGACTGCAGAATTCACCGCTCCCATGCAGCTCCGCAGAAATGCACTCTGCAGCACTCAGTAATATAGAGTTATTTTAAAGCATCAGCCTGTGCCTATTATGCGCACTCTTCCAGGTGCCACTCAGGCAACCAGCTCGTCTGGCCCTTCACTCCAGTGCAGCTCCGTCTTCGCGAGCCGTGCTGTGCTTGGTAAGAGGTTATCTCGTCATCGTGCACTTCTGTATCTAATAATGAAACCTTTCCAGACCAGGCAGAGCCCGACAGACGGCAGAATTCGCCACTCCCATGCAGCTCCGCAGTAATGCACTCTGCAGCACTCGGTAATATAAAGTTTTTTAAAGCATCAGGCTGTGCCTAATATGCGCACTCTTCCAGGTGCCACTCAGGCAACCAGCTCGTCTGGCCCTTCACTCCAGTGCAGCTCCGTCCTAGCGAGCCGTGCTGTGCTAGGTAAGAGGTAATCTCGTCATCGTGCACTTTTGTATCTAATAATGAAACCTTACCACACCAGACAGAGCCCGACAGACTGCAGAATTCACCACTCCCATGCAGCTCCGCAGTAATGCACTCTGCAGCACTCGGTAATATAGAGTTATTTTAAAGCATCAGCTTGTGCCTAATATGCGCACTCTTCCAGGTGCCACTCAGGCAACCAGCTCGTCTGGCGCTTCACTCCAGCGCAGCTCCGTCTTAGCGAGCCGTGCTGTGCTTGGTAAGAGGTTATCTCGTCATGGCGCACTTCTGTGTCTAATAATGAAACCTTTCCAGACCAGGCAGAGCCCGACAGACTGCAGAATTCACCACTCCCATGCAGCTCCGCAGTAATGCACTCTCCAGCAATCGGTAATATAGTTATTTTAAAGCATCAGCCTGTGCCTAATATACGCACTCTTCCAGGTCCCACTCAGGCAACCAGCTCGTCTGGCCCTTCACTCCAGTGCAGCTCCGTCGCAGCGAGCCGTGCTGTGCCTGGTAAGAGGTTATCTCGTCATGGTTCACTTCTGTGTCTAATAAAGAAACCTTTCCAGACCAGGCAGAGCCCGACGGACTGCAGAATTCACCACTCCCATGCAGCTCCGCAGTAATGCACTTTCCAGCAATCGGTAATATAGTTATTTTAAAGCATCAGCCTGTGCCTAATATGCGCACTCTTCCAGGTCCCACTCAGGCAACCAGCTCGTCTGGCCCTTCACTCCAGTGCAGCTCCGTCGCAGCGAGCCGTGCTGTGCCTGGTAAGAGGTTATCTCGTCATGGTTCACTTCTGTGTCTAATAAAGAAACCTTTCCAGACCAGGCAGAGCCCGACGGACTGCAGAATTCACCACTCCCATGCAGCTCCGCAGTAATGCACTCTGCAGCACTCAGTAATATAGAGTTATTTTAAAGCACCAGCCTGTGCCTAATATGCGCACTCTTCCAGACCCAAGTCAGGCAACCAGCTCTTCTGGTCTTTTCGCTGGCCACTGTGGTCCAGGTCAACACTGTAAGTGTCCCTTTTTGCTTTCGCCACTTTTTGAAACATATTTGCGTGAACCTCTATAGCCAGTAGATAATACAATCTGTTCCAGAAGGATCAGTTTAAAGAATTCTAGGTCCCTTTATAAGCTATAGCCTTTGCTTAGTGCGTGTGGCATACCGATCTAACCATTTGTATTACTAATGACTGGGGAGGTGTGGGAAAATGGAGCACACATATCAAGCGGAGGTTTCAAGAGAATTTTTCATCGCTGTTTTGCGTTTTTTATGCTATTTTAAGCCTTTCTAACTTGCAAGGTTATCAAATATTTTACGTGAAGACATTTAGTACAGAACCTTTTACATGACTAGTAAAAGAATGACGTAATTGGTGGTCAGAAGTTTCACTGGCTTTGACAGTGCTTAAATGGTAAAGCAGAAGAAGAAAATTCAGGCTTCACTCCACACCTTACCTGGTATGCTACTGGTTAGTGGTGCTTGTACTGGTTAAATCGTATCGCACTTCTTGCAACTGTTTTTAATCTCACTGACTTTTTGCCATTTTTATAGCTGGTTCAAACCATCCTGCACCTGTTTGCCGCAAGCTCATGAAAAGGCCTGAGGACGTTATGAAGCGACTACAGGCGAGAATTTCCAGCTACAGAAAGACGATAGCCAGACTGCGGAAACAGCAGCTGAAGACGCCTCTGACAGCTTCTCAAGCTCTGGAAATAATTCGGCCTCATGTTTCTGAAGAGGTATTTCACCTCATATCATCGCATATAAAGAATAGGTCGCAGGGTAAGGGGAATCGATTTCCACTGTGGCTGAAGAAATTGTCGCTCCATCTGAATTTTCATGGACCGCGGGCAGACCGATTTATGTCTTCAGTGTTCACGCTACCCTCTCGGCGTTCACTACGAAGGTGGCTCGCCAATGTCAAAATGACGCCGGGTATCATTCCAGGCATTATGTCATCGATTGCGTCAAAAACAGTCATGAAGTGAACGCGACCGCATTTGTACTTTAGTGTTTGACGAGATGATATTGAAAAAGAACTTGTCATACGATGTGGCGCAGGATGTTGTCCTCGGATTTGCAGATGATGGTGTTGAGCGAACTTCCAGTATTGCTGACAGAGCCCAGGTTTTCCTCCTCTCTGGAGTTTCTAGGAGGTGGGTGGAACCTCTAGCATACACTATTGGGCATACGTCAACGCCATCCTCTGTAACTCGTAACCTGCTTATGTCATTGATTGAGAACCTGAACGACATTGGCATTAATATCAAAGCAGTGGTCTGTGACCAGGGTGCCTCCAACGTAAGCTTGGCGCATCAACTTGGAGTGTCTGTTGAGCAGCTATTTTTCAAAGTAAGAAATGAAAGTGTCTATTTTATTTTTGATGTCCCGCACCTCATAAAGACCACCCGTAACAACCTGCAAGCCCACAAGCTTCACATCGGGAGTGAAACTGTAGACTGGAACTACATTGTGCAACTTTACCACTCCACGCACGAGATGCGACTACGATTAGCCCGGAAACTGACAGACGGGCATATTTACAAGAAACCTTTCAGTAACATGAAGGTGAAACGTCCGACTCAGGTCCTCAGTTCATCAGTATGCATTGCACTTTTAGCTCTTGTGTATGCCAGACAGCTCCCTGGGGCGGCCATGTCCACGGCATACTTTTGTGACCGCTTGGACAAAATTTTTGACTGCCTTAACAGCTCGAGACCAAAGAAATCTGAACACAAGTTACGCTATGCGATTAGAAAGGGCGACACTGAAATCCTTGATTTCCTTTGCAACCAACTTCCATGGGGAGCAGCCTGGAAGTTTGAAGTTTAGACGGCAGCCACAAACAGTCACTGGGTGGCAGGTTACTATCAGGGCCGTCCTCATGCTCTGGGAGGTTATTTCTGAGAAATATAACTTCAGCTTTCTTTTGACACGGCGACTGCAGCAAGATTCGCGCGAAAAATATTTTCGGGCAGATGAGGCAACAACACGGCTGCAACACCAATCTTAATGTGTATCAGTTTACTTGTGGACTGAGGCACATTGGGATCATGATGCTCCTAAAGCTCTCGGAAAGGGGAAATGTTGAAGATGACAACACTAATCTCCTTCAGGAGATGTCCCCGTTTTCACTAGAGACAACCTCAACCGCTGATGCCGTGGAATGTGCCCCCGTGGACGACTTCCCTCCATTGGACGATATTTCGGAAGTTGCATCAAGTAAAGACTCTAACATAATAGACGACTCTGCTACCTATTATGTTGCAGGATTTCTTATCAAGCTGTTCCTGGAAAAAAGTTTACAGGGTTGTCTTTGTTCTGGGTCACTGAGGGAAGGGTCTGACAACTTGAACTGGCCCCACCACAATTTTACGATGCTTAAAGCCTTTCATGTTCCAGGAAAGATGTTCGGCAACTTAACTGTGCCTTCGGAGGCTACTTTCACTTACATTCACAGCCTGGAATCTCACTTTATGTGTGTTATAGATAGCGTAGCACACCTGCGCAATGTCTGTCATGTTTTGTATCACCATCTGTCGCGTATTAGTTTTTGCATTTATGCTCCGAGGAGTGTCAGCGGAGGTTTTTGAAGATGTTTTGCAGGGTGCGGTTGTGCTGGCATGTGCGCTTTATTAATCGAAACTTGCAAAAAGTTCGGTTTCATTCTTCTGTTGCTGGCGCTCAACTCGACAAGTTCAAAGCTTAGTATGGTACGGTGTTTTAGGCGCCTATGAAAGAACGAATTTTAATTGAGTTGTGCAGTTTGCATGCCGATTATATTTCTGGCTTTTTTGCAACTTTATAATGCAGGACATAGTTTTTTTATACACGGGATGAGGACTTTTTGTAGCAAAGTGATCTTAGATGGGTGCGTGCGTGGAGTATATGCCGAACATGTCCGATATGGTAATGTTTTAATCAATGTGCCTTGTATATTGACCAAATGTTGTATGATTACTTTGGTAACAGATTTTTTTTGTATATTTTTACTACCTAACACTGTTGGTGGTTTGACCTCAGCTGCCTGTTCTTGCTGTAATTTCCCACAGGCCCAGTACTAGCATTGCTATATTTTCTGCTGTAGACACATTGTGTTGAATATGCATGGGAATGTTGAATATTCCCTGGGTCTGTATGAGGTCCTTTTTGTTAGCCTACGAGAAGTGTTAGGCTACTAAATAGTGTACTGTATATTGACATTGAATCTGCTTCTTTGAATTCTGTGCAGTCTAGGCTGTGCTCTAATAGCGTAAACGACCTAATCTTCGCGTGGACCTAATTTTCGCAAATATCGCGATTTGATCAAGTTCACAAGAAATTGGTAACGTGAATAAGTTGCCCTATGGACATGAATACATGCAATGTCACTCACGGTGGTGAAAGTTTGTGCCCGCTAAATATTCCCGAAATTGGCACATCGCTAAATGTCGAGCTCGCAACAATAAAGTCGCTTACAGTACTTGTTAATGATAGCTAAGGCCACATGTCCACATTACTGAAACTGCTCAGCATTTTGACAACCAATGATTAATTCAATCAAACCGTTTAGCATCACTGGAAAGTTCTGTTTTGAATTGTTGGTAAATGTGGGACTCTTGTAACGTTTCTTCTTGATATGAATGTGTGTGCCCTCATGATGAATACTTCGCGATTCTGAATTGTTCAAGTCTGTTTATGATTCACCTCAAAATAAATCATTCTGAAGCACTTTTTGTTGTTGCCTGAAAATACTTCGTAAACACGTTAACAAACGGAAGCAGTATGACAAGAATAGATATCTTAATATTTCACAACAGCAAAGACAATAATTTTTGCTCTTTCGTGGTGTGAAGCCTCTAATCAGAAGCATTTGTGCCATCAAGTAAGAGAAGACGCGCGACAGCATGCTCGGCAAAAAAAGCGCCGGAAACAAAACCGAAACTGAAACCACCGGAACCGGAATTGAGAGTAAGCTTTTCTCATCGATCGTATGGCGCGCTAGTTGTTATACGGGACGCTGGGGGCCTACGACAGTGTCCGCTCTTTACCTTGCGTAGATTACTCTATGCGTTGGGCTCGGTTGGATGGTCGTTGGAGTTCCAGAGACTTCGGAAATCTCCATCTTTTACGTTTTAGTCGTTTTAGTGGATATTTTAGATATCTTCCTTGCGAATACCGTGTTCAAGAATAGCAATCGATGACTGAGAGCTGGGAGACGCTGCGTCTTGCCAACGCCCGTAAGTTCAGAACCGCCCATGCACGACTCGTGCAAACGCCGGTAGGCAACTTTCTTCTGTTTCTGCGAAGTGGGCTGCTGTTTCAAACTTTGTCGTGTATACCGTGTGCTTGCTAAGGTATGCTTGATTCTAACTATGCTTCTGTCCTGTGTTATTTCGTTATTTGAAAAGAGCGTATTTTCTTCAAAACCTGTGGCTCGCTCCGCAGTGTGAGAAAGATTCCCGTGCGTCGGAACCGTGGGCATGTTCTGGGCGCCGTCGTGCGGCGGTCGTCCGACGACGCTTGTGCGGAGCGTTCAAGTGCCGTCTGACGGCAGTTCAAGTATTCAGTCGCCATCCCAAAGTGTTAATCACAGGTCATGCTAGTTCTGACGTCTTGTCCTAACAGCCGCTCGCCAAAGAATTGTTTCATAAAGCGGGAGCGAGAAAAACGTCACAAGAGTGAGCATGCAGCATGACTTTTTTTTTTTTGCTTAAGCTAATGCCTGTGCTGTAGAGACGCGCGGTCTCTTCGTCATATTTTCGAGGGTAAAAGCGCTAAGAAAACAGACAAACAACGCTCTCTGTTGTTTGTTTCTTTTACTTGCCCGTTGTTTCACCGGCACACTTTTTAAGTTTACGATTGTGGGATGTAAAAAATAAAAAGGAGTTTTTAAATGTCAGGTTTTTAGTAGTTGCGAAAGCCCTTACAAAAAGCAGAGCAGCTTGAAAAAGCAAAAGCATGAAAAAAGGCGGAAAAAATTAACTAATGTCAAACCTGAATATTTGATGAAGTTCAAAGACTACCACCGTACCAACTCGCCCGGTTATTCTTTCTGTCAAAGAATAATAGCCAATAGTAATAAACAAATAAATGCGAACTATTAATTGGTTGCAAAGTCCTAATTGGTGCAGTGCAGCCCTACGCTACTCTACTCTTTTGATGATATCAGGTAATGTGTTAATGGATAGGGCAGTTCATAGCAACCATTTATGCCCGACCCACTATATTGCGCTTTTTCTTTATATAAAAGTTATATAAAAAAAGCGCTCTTCCTAAATTAAGCCGCACCACTGAATGTACAATAGCGTGTAACGTTTATGTATGTTCTCAGCAAAAGAAAAGGATGCATTAAAAAATGGCAAATCATTTTCTTTCCTCTCTGTTATAGCTTCTTTCACGTACACGCAAAATGTGGGCGTCTATGTATAAAAGAGTGGAATTGACATTTCCTGCAAAGCTGGAAGGCCTGACTCAGTTTGGCTAGCAGCTTGAAACCTATGGGAACCTGGGGAACTGAACCACAAGAGGAAGAGAGAGACACCCACCACAAGAGTGAGGGTGACACCCGCCTTGCACTTCCTGAACGATGGCAGCATGAGGATGGTGGAGCTACCCTAAAGTGAATGCAATAGCAGGTGGGTCGTTCCAGTGAACCCCTATAGAGATGATACCAAGCAGAAAATTAATAATAAATGTGTTATTGAATACATGGAATGTGAATCGCGCGGACAAGAAGGAGGAGATCAACACAGCGATG